GTTCTATTTCCACCTTTATCACAGACAGTACTAAAAGTCCAGTAAAGACTAAAAAAAGTATTTGAAATGGGCTTGTAGATATGGAAGGCCAACCCCCCCCCCCATTGTCTGTCACCTCAATTTTTAAACAAACAGTTAAAGAATTTTATTTTCAGAGCCCCATAAACCAGATTTATTTATTTATTTAAAACTATTTTAGACCATCCCATTACCAAGTTCTCAGGACAGTTTATCAATACAAAATGTATTTTTTTTAAACACAGTGTCCTAAAATTTTAACTAATAATAAACCCCAATTAAAACAGTCAGGTCTTAAAACATTAGGAAATAAAAAGGTTTTGGCCTGGCGCCGGAAAAAAACTGATGGTGTCAGGCACTTAAATGCTGCCATACCTTTTTGGTGCCTGCCCAAAATACACTTTTAGCCTGGTACAGAGAGAAACAGGTGGGGAAATATTTTGAATTTTTGCAGAACTTTTTACTGTATACCTAAGAAAGGGCTAAGGGGATTGTGTGAGGAGAGTGCTGAGAAGCACAATAAGGAAGTCTTGAATAAATACTGTATAGCAGAGGTGAGCGAAATCTAGGAGTGATCCAGGAAAGCATAAAATACCGTCCTTATTGCCCTCATTAAACATCAGGGCATAAAAACAAAAGTCAAAGAAAAATCAAGTGAACTTTACGTTTGGTGCAGGAAAAAACTTGGATGGATGTATAGGAGAATGAGAAGGAAATTCAACTTTTTGCCGGCCTTTTGATTCGTAAGTCAGCATGTCTCAGCCAAGCATATCCTTGGAGGAAGTTGGGCTACATGTGGCCACAATGGGAATTTCACCCTTCCTGGCATTGGGAATGACAACTGGAATTTGCAGCCAGGGTGTAAAGGAACTAAAGAAAAAAAGAGAGAGAGTAGTGCAACTGTGTGTCAGAAGAAGAGATGCCAGGAACTAGTTCACCTAAAAGCCATAGCTAATTGCTGCTCATTTATTTACAAATAAGTTCTTGGTTGTTCCGTGGCTGGAGGCCATTGTGAATATTCAAGCTGCAGGATGTGGTGTCTAAACACATGACAGGGTCAGTTGTAATGCTTAACAAACACCCCACAACCCGAAAACAGCCCATAGGTTGCAGGTGAATTGTTAACCACAGCAGCAACCCATCCTTGCCAGGTTTGGACATCATCTTAAGCCACGGGAACCGCCCACTTTGGTGAACCCCATAAACACTGCTTTTTTGTCCGTAAATCAACATGCCCCATTCTGAATATTCAGCGGATCATCTGGCAGGGTGCTAGACCTTGCCCATGACATCTTATGCTAGATCTGCTTACCATGTCGAGATTTAGAGCAGTCTTCATGGTTGAAGATAACACTGTGTTTGGATGCGACAGGAAATAGCTGTTGTTGGTTTCCTTGTCTCAGATCGTTCCAGAAATGCAAGTCCCACACCTAGTGCCTGATTACTTGGAAGGGGGCCACTTGTAGGCTGCTAGTCGATCATGGCGGGAAGAAGTGTTCTGCGCTAGATGGATGTCAAGCCGGATGTAGCAGGGAGGTTTATATTCCATGCCGGGCCCTTCTCGAGTGTCAGGCAAATGGACTTGCCTTGCAAGCCACCTTTCCCGTCTTTTTCTCCCCTCTGTCTCCTGGCCCTGTGATTTTGCTACAGCAGATGAGCAGCACAGTCCAAAAGAGTAGTGAGGGAGTATTCTGGGAACTGCCCTGGTGGAGGCAACAGATTTAATTATTTTAAATCAGGATCTAATTAATTAAAACCCAGTCTTGATGTGCATCACTTACTCTGGGCGGAAATACAGGAAGCAGCTGGGTGGAAACAGTTCTTGGCTGGGGCTGCCCACCTCAGCAGCCCCCCACCGCGCGATGCCCCTCTCGCCACCCAGCGTACGAGTGCCGCTGCCCAGCTGCCTCTTGCCCTGCCACCCGTGCAAAGTGGAGCGGGGGACCCACGGGGAGGCCAGCAGCACGCTCTGCTCCCAGTGTTGACCAGCTGATGGGCCGCTCCTGCCCCAAGGAACCTCTTAGGAGGAGTGGGGATGCCTCTGATAGCACCACTCTGAGCTGTATTTTGCAAATTTAATAAATAATAATAAATATTTTCTGGTTCAGATGTCACAAAAAGTAATCATGGTACTGAGAAACCATAGAACAGACTGTCGTTGAAACACCGGGATGGGGTTCAGATGACACATCCGATCAAAATGGGTTAAAAAACACCTTTGTTGTGTCATGTGAACCTGGTCACTGTGGTTTCCTATCAAGTTTTCTAAAGTCCAGAGGGAGTGTGGCGAAATAGTACAATTGGGTTCCAGCTGCATGACAGACCAACAATGGTGAAAAGCTCATGGTGGCTTGTGGCGTTGTCTGAACCCAGCCAATGATAAAGCAGGCAAACGATTTGGTTCAGATGATAATAAGCTGAACAAGCCATGCTGCATGCCAGGTGTAATTTGCATAATCGCATGTCTGGCCATGGCTTGTCATTTCATCCAAATGCAGATGGCATGGCTTTTTTAAGGGGAAAACAATGCTCATCCTATGGGATATTATCAAGAAATACTTCCCCCCTACACTGGGTAAGTATGGGTGTTCAGTTTGTCAGGTTTTTCAGTGAAATGTATTGGGAATAGAAACCAATTTGAAGAAACAGCACGCTTCTTACTGACCTCTTTCTCCCTCTGCTAAGATTCTCTCCATCGGCATCTTCCACCAGGCATTGGGTGATCATGGGAGTCTGACAATGACCATTCAAAACTCAAGCCACTGGCCTGGATCTTTGCTAAATCCCTTGGTAAGTAACATCTATTTAATACCCAGATTGAAATTACCTGCAAATCTTGTGTTATTGTTATTTTTTATGCTGGCTTATGTGTCCTGGGGTGAGGAAGTGGACTCAGGTTGATTTGTTGGTTACATGTGGAAGAGACCAAGTACATCTCAGATCACGAGTCTGTAAAGGTCCATGTACAAGCCCTCTTCCTCTTATGGCCTGTGTATGAAATGGCAGTTCCGAGGCAAAAGAAGCATGCCTGCGGTTAATCATTATATCATGGAAGAGCCCCAGGAGTCTTAGGAACATCATTGGAAAACTGTTTCACAAGTGCTGTTGCTTTTTGGAGAGACCAACTACCACAATGCGTTGTACTATGTGGGATAACAGAAATGCACCGTTTCATTCCCAGGGTCCAAACCTGAAGCTCATGGACAATCTGCATCCTTTACATCTTCGAAAAAGGAGATGGGCTATCACCGCTCTGGAACTTGAGGAGGAAGACGCAGGGCCTTTCCCAAAATTAGTTGGAAAGGTAAAAGCAAACACTTATATTTTGTTTCTTAGACCAGGGTTCCAGCCTTTTCTGGACACCTGGAGATTTGAGAAACTGCCGTGGGCTCTGCCGAAAAATGACTACCGTGAAGGATGTGGCCAGTCCCATCATGGGAGCCTGGCTGATCAGATGTGCGTGAAAGATGGGCAGTGGGGACAAATAGAGGTAAACAGAAAGGCAGAGAGTTAGAGGAGAGAGAGGGGAAGAGGCTAGGGAGTGAGAGAAAGCCTTCCAGGCTTTTCTTCAAATATTTTTTTAAGGGGGGCATGAAATGGAGAGCTTTGGGGGTGCTGTTGGAAGCTCCCATGGGCAGCACCCTGGGGATTCCCCATCCTAGACTTCCCAGAGTCAGTATCTGGTGGAGTGAAGGCTAGCACTCAAAATCTTGTGCCACAATCAGTTTGTAATAGTTACAAAAAAACAATGACGGAGTATTTCTCCGTGCACGTTAGTTGGATGGCAGGCTGCATTGGTGAGCTTTAAGCAGGGGAAGCTAGAACAGAAATGCCAAGCCTGACCATGTTTACATTCGCCTTCCTCAAGTATGAGTGGCCTCTTCTTAGAAAACACTGTTGTGGCGCTATTCAACTCGTCCTTGGAGTCTGCTCTTACCCTTCCAAGTTTAAAATATCTTGGAAAGGTGAGGACCGACCTGGCAAAAACACACATACCAGATAGTTGAAAGGTAGCACTTGCAAAAGACCACTGAAAATGATGATAAGAACCAAAAGATGACGCCTCCAATTGCTCATTTCTGAAGCACTGAAAAATAGCATTTAAAAAGCTGGGAAGCTCTTGATGGTCCTTCCAAAGTGCCAGTTTGGCACTGGAGGAAGGGCAGTCCCTGGCAAGATGCTGCAAAGGGCTTTTTGCTGCCTTTTCCAAGTGACTCTGTAGCTGACTTGTTGTTGTTGTTAGTCGCGAAGTCGTGTCCGACCCATCGTGACCCCATGGACAACATTCCTCCAGGCCTTCCTGTCCTCCACCATCCCCCGGAGTCCACCTAAGCTCACACCAACTGCTTCAGTGACTCCATCTAACCACCTCATTCTCTGCCATCCCCTCCTTCTTTTGCCCTCAATTGTTCCCAGCATCATGGTCTTCTCCAGGGAGTCCTTCCTTCTCATTAGGTGGCCAAAGGATGTGAGTTTCATCTTCAGGATTTGGCCTTCTAAAGAGCAGTCAGGGTTGATCTCCTCTAGGACTGACTGGTTTGATTGCCTTGCTGTCCAAGGGACTTGCAGGAGTCTCCTCCAGCACCACAATTCAAAGGCCTCAATTCTTCGACGCTCAGCCTTCCTTATGGTCCAACTTTCACAGCCATACATTGCAACTGGGAAAACCATAGGCTTGACTATACGCACTTTTGTTGGCAGGGTGATGTCTCTGCTTTATAGTATGCTATCTAGATTTGCCATAGCTTTCCTCCCCAGGAGCAAGCGTCTTTTAATTTCTTGGCTGCAGTCCCCATCTGTGGTGATATTGGAGCCCAGAAAAATAAAATCTGTCACTACCTCCATTTCTTCCCCATCTATTTGCCAGGAAGTGACTACTAACCCAAAATAAAATCAGTCTCCTGGGTTCAGACAGTACAAGAGCTCATCCCATGCAAGAACAGTCCTACAACAAGCCATGCATTCTTGTTATGGCTGTTGCTGAAAATTAAACTAGCCTGTGAAAACACTTCAGTTTCAGTGACAACCCACCATTGCTGGCTGCCCATTGGGGGTTGTTTTATTGTACAAAGTAGGTCCATGATTCATTTGACCCCAATATTAAAAATACTTGCAAATGTGTTTGAATTGATGTATATATAATATAGGAGAATTAACTATTTCAATGAAAATTTTATTCTCATGATATCCTCAGTGTTTCATCGACATTCTGTCTTGTCTGTAGATCTTCAAAAATGTATCATGTGATGAATGTAGGCAATATTTAATCAGGGAACCTGAAGTGGCAGCTGGATTGTTTTCTATTGAAAATTGTGGCGGAGGAAATCTGTATGTGCACCATTCCATTGATCGAGAGAAAATCTCTTTTTTAAAGGTATTTACTATAGGAAAAAACATGTAACCAATGCTTCTAAACTGTTCTCCTAATAGTAAATAGTTGATCTTATTTCATTCTGTTTTTCTTTGACTCACTAACATTCTTCAGCATGCCCCCAGTTATTGTACAATACCTAGATTATTTAAACAGTGATCATTTCAGCAATTTGTCATCCAGCAGTGGTGTAAGTTTTGCAAATATTTGCTTTTGCTTTTGCTAGAACAACCTCATTTTTACATGCATGCTGAATATGTATCTATGGATATAAGACTTCTTGGTTCAGTTTAGCCTGTCATGTATTTTATTCTTGCAGGCATATCGTGAGTAGAGCTGGCTAGAGCTGGTGGTCAGACTAGATGGCCCAGGAGACCCCTTCTGACTTGCTCTGTTTCTGTGTTTCTATATATACATACTGTATATTGATTGTATGCATTCGTTTTACGTTGCAAAAGTTATTGCAAAGTAGCTAGATCAATTGCTTTTACTGTTCATGACTCTTATGGGGCAAAATGAACTTAATGCAACATGAGTGCTCTAATATCTAAAATGTTTGAAATTCAAACCTTTTTTTTTTTTTTTTGGACAAGAGTTTTTGCATTGTGGTGTTGATTGTGGTTATCATCTTTGTCAGGATGCCAAGAAAATGTATCTTTTTTTAAAAGAAACCATTTTGCTCTGTGTTTTCTCTCTCTCTCTCTCTCTCTCTCTCGATTTCCTTGTTGTTCAGGTACGGTTTGATATTGCGGATAGATGGACCAATAAAATATTGAATAGATCTCTATACTTCAGTGTTACAGTTAAGGATATAAATGATAATGTACCTGAGTTTTCCCAGAAGGAATTTAACAGCACTATGACAGAAAATCACAGAAGTGGTGAGTATTGTCAAGATTGTGGATAACATCAAATTGAAAAGATGTTTTCTGCCCATTGTGATCTCCTTCTGATTGATTTTTTTCATACAATTCCTAGGGCTGGCTGGTGCACTGGTTCCCAACTGTGGGGCACAAGCACCTTTGTTAAAAAAAATCTTGTACAGATAGGCACTTTTGCTCACACATACAGTCATCCTACATATTCAGTTAAGCAAGAAATAAAAGAAAGATTTCCTCTTTTAATTCTGAAATCGCACTTCTTGCATTTAGGAAATTACATTATGGCCTACACTAGAACTTTCCTAGAGGGGATGAAACCCTTTACTGCTGTTTTTCTTCAATGTTACCATCCAGGGTGAGGAAGAGCATGATTTCTTTAAAAATTATTTATTTATTTAGCAAATTTCTATGCTGCCCTATTCTCTGAAGCCTTGGGGCGGCTCACAAATCAATCAATTAAAATATTGTACAATAAAAATATAAAACAAGTTAACAATATAAAATAATAACAAAATAACAAAATATAATAATAGCTTGATATTATTCGTGGATACTCTAAACTAAGTTGCATTGACTTATTTCTTGGTAAGAAGATACAGGATTGCAGCTTAAATGTACGATGCCACAGGGACTTATTCTGTAATTGTAAGCTCAGATATGTTCTCATGAATCAACAAGTGATGAGAAATCAGACTTGTCCACATGCATGTGTGAACTGGACTTTTAGTCTTGGGCCCAGGTATCTGTTTGGGAGGGCATTAGTGGAAGGCAGGAAAGATGCCCGTAGGCATACTCACTTGGCTCCAAAGGTGCTTCTGCACTGGTGGGAAATCATTCCTGCTTCTAGAAGAGCTGTTTCTAGCCTATGGAAAGAGCCTTGCATGACAAAAGTGATCCCAAATCTAGAGGGGTTCTTCCATTTGCTCTTCCACTGGCCCGCTAGAGTTTAGATGCGACAGCTTGTAGCTGCATTGCTCGCATCATGTGACACAGTTCCCCACCACATCATGGTGCTGTGGTTGAGGAGTCTTCCACCAGTGCTGTTACAAAAATTCAAGGACCCCCAATAATTCTTATTCAAGGGGGTCCTTGAATAAGAACTCAAGAATTCAAGGACCCCCAGTATCTGGCCAGGGCGACTTCTTTTATATTGTGATTTATTTTATATTGTTATTTTTATATTATGTTATGAGCCGCCCCATTGGCGAATGGGGCAGCATAGAAATGTTTTAATTAATAAATAAATAAATAGATAAATAAATAATAACGTGTGTTCTCCTTCTGCTCCCCATTTTTGAAACCAAGCCTTTGAAGAGAGTCTTGGTGACCCTTGTTTCTTTCCCTTCTTCCTTTTGTTCTGTAAGACAAGTTATGTCTTTGTATCTCGGCGCAATGCTCAAACTCTGCTCTTTTCAGCCTGGCTGTGATATTGTTTGACGAATGATTAACTGAATGCATTCTTTTCTCAAGCTAGGTGGTATGTGTCATGAAATACTGTTGCTCCACTCTTCTTCTACTACTACTGTTGGTACTTCCTCCTCCTTCACCTTTTTATTGTTAATAATAGTAAACTACTACAAAAATACAGATGCAAAATGCATCATAAATATAGAAGAACAGACAACACAAGATACAAAAGAAACCCCACCCCAAAACCAAAACTGTACAAAAACAAATAGTGCACCCTTCTGCTAGGACCATGGCTGTATAATAGTTATTCCTTCATTCCTTTGTTCTTTTTTGCTTCTAGCTGTAACTTTCATCTCTTTCAGAAATACCCCCACCCATCCAAATTGTATTGAATGCACTGAAAGTGTAATACCCTTCCCTTTTATTGGCACATATTCAATAAATAAATGAACCCCCTCTAGCATTAAAATGTTCCATAATTGTTCTTTGCTACCACAGTACCAGAATAAAGTGCAGCCCAAGTTAGCCACTTTCCATTGTTGTGATTAGCAGGGTGTGAGTATCATAGTTACCTAGAAGTCTAGCAAAGCAGTTGCCCAGATTCAGGTTGGATCACACAAATGGGTGTGAACAAGTACAAGTGAGAGAAGGATCTGCAGCTGGCAAAGCGACCACGAGGTGTGCTGCACAGGTGGGACCCATGACTGTCAGGTGTGTTGATCCACTGACTGGTGTAGCATTGCTGGACTTTTATGCAAAGCCCACCTTGTATTTGATGCTGGGTGGATGGCTGAATGTGAAAACTGTTAGCACGGGATGGAAGTGGCAGGTTTCTAAAGCTAGAACAATGGGACCAGTGGTGCTGGAGAAGAATGGAGGGCCAGTCCAGATACGGGCTGAGGTCCAGTAGCAGCAAGGCAAAACTGGCTTAGAGGCAAAGACACAGCCCAGAGGCAAGCTGAAGAGCTGGCACGAGCCAAGGACTGGAGTGCAGGCATCCCGAAGGCCTTTGCTGCCCTGGTCATGGCTGAGGACTGCAGGGGAGCCTTTCAAAGAGCTGCAGGTTTGCTCAGACTCTGGCCCTTGCAAGTACCTGCAGGATTGCTGCTGGCCCTGAAAGCACTTGCAGGGTAAATCGGCCGCTTGTCCCCAGGCAGACTGGTGTTGGGGCTTCAGATCTGATGATAAGGACAAAAAAATAGTCCCTCTTGTTCGTTACCTGACGGTGAGAGAGACAGGAAACACCAGCAAGTCATTTTATATTAAAAAGACTATTGTAGGTGTGCATTAGCTTATAGCATGAGCCCACTTCCAGTCAGAACCAGCTGCCACAGTCTTCATGCATAGCCAATGTATACTTCTAGATTTTGTAAAGATTAGTAACAAAAACATCATAGCAGGAAGCATTACTCAATAAAAGCAGGACACTTCCATCGGAAAGGGAAAAATGTAATCCGCAGGAAGCACTCGGTCACTTTTTGTACACTGTTATCCTGGCCTACACCTCATTTTACGACATTGGGTGTCAACACATCTGCCTCCAGGCTTATCCTTATAGGTTCTGGCCTTCTTGGCAGAGCTTTGCTTTATATTGTCAACCCTCTTGTGGCTCTCTGTTAGGATCCTAAGTAACTGACGCTGATTGTTTGGTGATCAGGACAAAAATATATTCTTCACTGACACGTGCAGCCTAGATGCAACTGAGAATCATGATGGAATTGGCTATTGTTATATTGTACATCTAGGAGTCCATTCTGAATAGAAAAGGCAATTTCATGCTCTTTCCCATCCAGCTGTACGTGTAAAGAAAAGGTGCATTCACGTATGGCTGGTTTCATCACAATGGAGATGGAGATGGGTATTCTGTTGATGACAATAGATGGAACCTACATTTGGAAACATTTCTGGTTGCGCATTTGAAAGTGCACCTAAAAGCAATGATGCATATCAAAGGCATTCAATTTATTCTGTCAATAGGATGCAGAGAACAGTTTTTTCTGTAGGGAGAGGAAAGGGGAAAGGTTGTGTGAATGTTTATGCATGCATTTTATAGTCTAAAATCTAATGGCTGACTTTGGTGGTATTTAAGTGACAAAAGTTAGTCCTTCTGTGTCAAGGCACTAAAGAAGTGCAGTTTTTGCTTTGTCTTATTCTGTGTGGTTTTGTTTTCTATTCAGCTGTGCCAGCAACGAGGGTAGGCAGTACAGTACATGTATGAAATCTGTTTATAGTGCCAAGAATGGTCCACAGCATTGCTGAACATGTGCTGTATATCTCTTCTTGCAACTGCAGATCTACCTGTTTTCAACATCATAGCTTTTGACAGGGATGAAAAAGGCAGTGCAAATTCTCGTGTGACGTATTCTTTGGTGACTCAGAGACCTTATCTGGCAGAAACTGTCTTTACTGTTCATCCTTCAAATGGCCAGATATACATCAGCGGATGCTCAGATTATCAGGTATAGGAATGGCAAATAGTCTAGGCAAGCTGTGTGTTTTGGTATATATCCTTTGCAGTAAAGGTATGTCATTAGGTTCTTGCAGATTCTGCCTTCAGACTCCCCCCATTTGTCAGTATCTAAACTTTATCCACTCCCTAAACTTAATCCACTGTCCCGGTATTTCTTCCATACTTTGTCTGCCAGCAGCCAGTCCTTGCAAAAGAAAAGCCAAGGTGCGTGCATGTGAGAGCAGTGTGGTGCAGCAGTTAAGAGCACAGGCCTGGGACTCAGGCGATCCGGGTTCGAGTCCCTGCTCAGCCATGGAGCCAACTGGGTGACGTTAGGCCCATCACAGACTCTTAGCCCAACCTACCTCACAGGGTTGCTGTTGTGGGAATAAGACCAAGAGCAGGAGAAGGAGAGTGATATAAGCCACTGTAAGTTGTTAGAAGAAGAAAGCAGGACATAAATATAATAAATGTGGAGAGCATGTTCCACTTGATCCTGGAAAACTGCCCAGCCTGGTCCCCTTGGCACTGTGTCACCTGCTTGGATGGTCTCCCTGGCCTCCTTGACAGGGTGGCTGTGAGGATAATTGAGAAGGGGGAGCTGTGCCAGCTGCCTGCAACTTCTTGTGGACAGCTGGTTCTAGATGCAATATTTATGCACAATGATGTGCTGGTGATGATGCACAGAATGCACCAAAGCAACTTTGCTTTGCCTCTGAACGGCCCTCAGACTGATCTTGTAACTGGGGCACCTGCTTGCACTGGAGACTTGCCATGGCAGCCTCCACTCATGCTCTGCAGAAGTCAGTGAAGCAAGCAGGCACCTTCACAGCAGAATCTAGTTTCTCGCGGCCATTGAACCTACAGTTCAGAGACCCAGATTCGAGTGTATTTTGACTGAACATCATCCAAGAGTCTGTGTTGAAGTGCCTGTGCCATGAAGTAGGAGAAGGTATTACAACCAGGACAACTTCAGAAGTTGTGGCATCTCCCAAACCTTAGCCAGACAGGAGAAATGGTTGGAGCATCCCCCCATGGGAAGCAGTCACATTAGCTATTTTGGGATACAAGAATACGATTTCTGCTGAGTGATACTGGTTTCAGCCCTGTGTCATTGCCACCTCCTCCCATCGCATTTCTATCCCACCTTTTCCCCCCTTGTGAGCAAACCAAGGGGGCTTAGATAGCTCCACTTTGCCCTTAGGACACAATTAATTTCCCCCTTTATGAAGGGATCAGAGAAGTCAGTCAGCTTGTATTGTCCGGATATATTTATTTATTATTTATTACAGACATTTATATCCTGTCCTATCGCCAAGTGCTTAGGACAGCTTACAAAAGTACAATATAAAATATAAAAATACAATATAAAACATCAATTATTAAAGCAATATAAAACACATCGCAAACTTAAGAAAAAGGAGGGAAAATAGAATTATGAATTACTATATAGAGTTATGAGTACTCTTCCTCAGTAGATACTGCTTGTTTCATCTTTGTAATTTATGATGTCATTGTTGAGCCCAAAAGTGATTGTGGAGGTTGCAATGCTGCATCAGTCGCTCATAGCACTGACCGCTTTGAAGTCCCACAACTTTTTAAAGATGTCTAGATATATGTGCCCTTTGACACAAGCGTTTTGACATGAGCTCTTGGTCAATCATGGGCAAAGGTCTTAAATCTTTCAGATAATTTATTTCCTGTTCAGACGATTTGCGCTGGTGTTAAAGAACCCACACGAGGATCTTCTAATGTTCATACAAAGTAGGATGTTCTAATATTTTAATGTTTTCAAGATTGCAAAAGCATTCCAACTCCTGGTCAAGGCTACAGATCATGGAACTCCACAACGGTCATCAACAGCAACAATTAATATTGCTTTAAAGGATTCCAACAACAACCTGCCCAGATTCACCCAGGAAAAAGTGAGGATGCAAGAGTATTTTATGGGAAGATAGTAAATCAATATTGACAGCTTTGTTGGAGTTCTTTGTTGATGTACTTCCTGATGGTTAGAACCCCTAGTGTATGGAATGGGCTTCCACGGGAGGAGGTTGAAGCCCCAACAATGAGGGTGTTCAAAGATAGGCTGGGTATGCACATGGTGGGCATGTCATGGGGCAGAGCCAGCTGGAGCCGGGGGTCAGACTAGATGGCCCAGAAAGCCCCTTCTGTCTCATTCAGTTTCTGTGTTTCTGGAAGTAAGGCAGCTATGAGGACAGGATATTTCTCTGTGTCATTGATATATTAAAATATTTACATCCTATCTTTCTTGCTGAAGAAAGGTTTCCAAGGTAGCTATCAATGTGAAAAGTAACATACATATTAATAATAATCATAAACATGATTTCCTCTGTGATATAAGGTCACGGAGTTAGGGTTGTCCTGATGATGTCTGGTTTCTTCTTTCTGTGGTAGTTTGCTGTGTGATCTGCTCCATAGCCAGCCAGGAGTCCTTTAGGTTCCCACCTGAAGTTCTACCCCTTTCTTGGTCCCACTCAGCACTGTCAGCACACCCACTTTCAAAGCAGAGAAGGTGGCCTGATCCCACCTGCTGAGTCCATTTTCTTCAAGGCTGCTGGTGGATTATCTGGCCAAATGTCCACCTTCATGCTGTCAGGGTTTATATGGTGCAGATGTAGGCAGTGGGGCTGGTTGATCCCACCTGGATTTCTATGGACCAAAGGCTTCGGGGAATGGAACCATGGTCTGACTTGGGAGGGGTGGAACTACATCTTCCTGTGTCATTTGGGCCTCAGGAGGTGTGGCAAGAGTTTCCTCCCAGTTCACCCACTTGGAACCATGCCTGCTCCTACTGGGGAGAGCATGCTAGCCAGCCAACGCTGCCATTCCAGCACTTCCTTTCTCACCTTGGGTTCCACCAAGGGAAGGTGGTCCCTGCACAGGGAAATCCCCTTGTTATGTCCCGTCGCAGGTTGTCTCTTCCCACTTCTTCAGAACATTTGTGACCTCCAGGGCAGAAGCTGGGGAAAGAAGCATCTGTGGCCCAGATGGACAGCCTCTGCAGGATAGATTAGGCCCACGGGCTGGAGTTTTTCCTCACCTGAGGCAATGTGAGAGCTTCTTGAAACTCCTTTCCGACCAAAACCCGATGTCTGTTAGTGAGGGCCAAGCTGCTCATTGTCAGTGGCAAAATGGTTCCCAAAGGCAGCATTTCCTTTATGAAAAGAAATGCATGGTAGCTGTGGAATTGTAATGTCAGCCAAATATTTATATGGAAGGAAGGCTCTGTTTGCTCCTGGGAGCACCACCAGAAGATGAAACCTGTTTACTATCCTACTGATCCTAGACATTTGGAATATTCCCTGCTGCTTTCTCCGTAACCCTTCCCTCCATTCCATATCATGGTCATCTACAGTGTTGCAAAAAATGGAAGCGGAGGCTGGGAACTGCCTTTGATCCATCTAAATGTCCTTTCTATGTCTTCCAAGTATCACCTGAATATCCCAGAAGGTGAAATGAAACATGGAATCCTACGCCTGAGGGTGGATGACCAAGATTCTCCCAACACACCTGCTTGGAGAGCCATGTATATGATAATTAGTGGAAATGAAGGGGACAATTTTGCCATTGTAACAGATCCTAGTACCAACGAAGGGGTGTTAAGCATCAAAAAGGTAATGTATTAACATAGCTACAAATGAGAATTGAAGAACCGTTCTATGAGACATTTTTATTTATTTATTTATTTTATTAAAACATTTTTATGCCGCCCCATTCGCCGAAGCCTCGGGGCGGCTCACATCATTAAGTTAAAATAATTATAATATAAATTAAAAATATAAATATTAAATTAAAAATACAACAACACAGTATAAAATAAGCCGCCCTGGCCAGATAAAACCAATAATGTTAACAGTTAAAATGCCGCTTGAATAATGTCATCTCAGCCTTCCTCACCTTGGCGCCCTCCAAAGAAGTTGGGCTGCAGCTACCATCATCATGAACCAGCACAGAGTATGGAACCAGCACGTCTGGAGGTCACCAGGTTAGGAAGGCTGGTACAGCCAGTTTGAATGTACTAATGGAAGATCGTGCTGTTGTCTCACTTTCCCAGCCTTTGATCTATGACAGCCGCCCTGAGAGAACACTTGTAATATCCGTAGAGAACGAAGAGGCCTACTTCTTGTGTAAAGGAGGCGTGGTGCAGAATGTCCCTCATCTGGAACGTCCCAAAGTATCTGTGAAGATTTATGTCATTAGCAGAAACCATGCCCCTCAGTTTAACCCCCCTGTCCTCCTCCTCTGGCAAGAGGAGAGTGTGTCGGTTGGAACCAGCATTGTACAATATACGGCCAGGGATCCCGACGGACATACCATCAGGTGAGCAGCTGTGCCTGTAATTCTTGTTGGAATTCCCTTGGTTATTTTGAGGTCTTCTGAAGAAACTTGCTCAGGGTGCCAGACCAACAAAAGATTCATTTTATTATTTATTTATCAAAGCTTTTTTTATCCCATCCTCTCACAGAAGTCTCAGGACGGTAGTACAGTCAGAAGCACAGTGTCACATGCTCCAATAAAATCCAATTAAAATAACAAATCTTAACGTGTTGGGAAAATAAAAAGGTTTTGGCCTGGCGCCGGAAGGAATAATCGTTCCATGGTTAACCACGACTCCTGCAGTCCACAAGGCTAACATTGTACCTGTGAAGTCATTCCTTGCCACATTCGTCCTTAGTTTTAGAAGGACAGAATATAATCGTCACCATCCATTTTCCTTTTAAAAACACCGGAACCCATTGTAAATAAGCAGCACATTTTCTAAATCAGAAAATTCCTCAAACTAAGTTTGTGTGTCCAGGATCATTTATAAGAACGGTCAACCTTTGGGTAGGGAAGGCTTCCCTGAGCCACGGCCCTTCAAATGTGCTTTGATCCCAGGGCATCTGGAAAGCATCAGGCTGTGTGGTGTAGTGGTTAAGAGCATGGGACTGGGACTCAGGCGATCTGGGTTCAAGTCCCTGCTCAGCCATGGAACCAACTGGGTGACTTTGGGCCAGTCACAGACTCTCAGCCCAACCTACCTCACGGGGTTGTTGTTGTGGGGATAAGATGGAGGAGGAGAATGATGTAAGCTGCCTTGAGCCCTTTGTAGGAAAAAGGCAGGATATAAATCGAAAATAAATAAATACCTCTCCCGCTTCCATAGTGTTGTCAAGATGACTTTTGGGTGGGACATAAGGCTAGTGCTTCGTTTTCCCGAACTGTTAGGCAAACACTTCCGTCTGTTCAAGAATCCTCTTTCCTTATCTTTGGCATGGTAAAGCCAACCAACTGAAGCTGAATGGACTCTGTCCGCTGTAAGAAGCCCTGCATTCCAGGGTTGACTTCTGGCACTGAAAACCGGCGCTGGGATTGAATTCTGGTACACATTGAGCTCTGGGTGAGACAAGGTAGGATGAGAACACAGGACCAGACCTCAAAGGCTGCAAGAGGCATACATTCCTGGGAGGGTGTTTGCCCTTTCAGGTGCTCTGGAGTTGCTAATTTGATTTACGGCTCTATCTCTTCCTTTTTGGGGTGCTAGTTTAGCTCTACAATGTTGTCCAGTCCTGTGGATGGCTGGGAAGCAAAGGTTGTCTGCTGTACTTACTATTTATTTATTTAATTTATAAAATTTGTATGCCTTCCAATTACTTAACGTCTCTGGATGGCTTACAGCATAAATAAATTGATGACCCACTCTGGCTGCAAGTTAATAAAATACAAAAAATTCAATATTAAAACATATTAAAATATTGATTAGATAAAAAGGTCTTAACCTGACGCTGAAAAACATATAATGACGGTGCCAGGCGGACCTCTCTTGGGAGCGCATTCCATAGTTGGGGCACCACCACAGAGAAGGTCCTCCTCCGGGTACTCTGTCTCCTAACATCTTTCACAGAGGGTTCCCGGAGGAGGGCTTCTGCTGCCGATCTCTTAGTTGTTCAGGATGCATTGTTACACATTTAAAAAAATGTTTGCTTTCTTCCTGAAGATACGAAGTTGCATTTGACCCAAATGGCTGGGTGTCTGTTGACAAAACCTTTGGGATAGTGAGGACGGTGAAAAAGCTTGCTCGGGAATCCCTTCACACAAACAGTGGTGTGTACACCATTGTGATACATGCCATTGATGGTGGTAAGTTTCACTGGGGTGATCCTGCCCCACTGATTCTTTTGCTCCCCACTGATTTTGTTGTTCAGATGGCCCTGCTGCTTGCACAGTTGGCAGTGCCATTCCTGGGGGCAACCTTAAAGAGCCAGTGTGGTGCAGTGGCTAAGAGCATGGGACTGGGACTCAGACGATCCGGGTTCAAGTCCCCGCTCAGCCATGGAGCCAACTGGGTGACTTTGGGCCAGTCACAGACCCTCAGCCCAACCTTCCTCACAGGGTTGCTGTTGCAGGAATGAGATTGAGACCAGCAGGAGGACGCCTGCTCCTCGACCTATCACAATCCCTCGAACCTCAAGCATCTAGCAGCCCATAATATGTAAGGGATGGGTTGCTAATCATGCTGAATCATCAGACAAAGTGCATTAGGCTCTTTTTGTTTACTGTGCTTCACTATGCCAGGCATGGAGAGAAAGAGAGGAAGAACAATCATCTTGCAAAATCACATGTTGAGACATTCTCTTGAAATGCTTTCCAGCCCCAAACCCCTTTTGCATTCTGGCTCCTGTGTTTGTCCCTTGGGAGCCTGCAAGGCAGGACCTGTTTGAATGTCGTTTGATGTCCTGAGGCTGACAGTTCACACGGCCTCTGGAGCACAATGGTGTGGAAGGTGATGCTGAGAAGGGCCTGTTGTAAAGCCCAGGCATGAAACCCACCTCTTATTTCCAAGCCTCCTTCTTCTGGCAGGTCTTCTATTAAATTGCTGTGTTTTGCCTTTAGGTGTTCCACAGCTAACCGGCACTGGGACCATCTACCTTCTCCTGTCTTCTTCTGTTGTCCATGATCCAGAGTTAATTACACCATCTTTAAATGTCTGTCAGGAAGAAGGAATGGGCCCTTTCATTATAAAAGCTGAGAAAAAACACTCCTATGCAGGGCCCTTTATATTTGAACTGGGAATGGCCTGGGGAAATGTGAATAATTCTTGGAAATTGGGGAAAAACTCTGGTAAGTTACCCTCCAGCTGAGACTTGGCTTGCCCTTTTCCATTTAAACATGTGACTTTTTCCCAACAAGCAGAAGAAAGCAGTAATGATGTCAGCTATTTACTATGATGAATGTTGAATTCTTGGACTAAATTTGGAATGTTGGGTCCAAACTGGGGAAGAATTCCTGTATCTGTGGGCAGGCCTGGTTGTCTGCCTCTGCTTGAGCAAAATCACATGGTCTCCCAGGTAGCCTCCAGGAGATTAAAAAGATTGGTGGCAGGGCACTGCAGGCAGCAGAGGAAGAGGAAGATGATGGAGGCTGGCAGGAGATCCGGGTGTCAGGGCTGCATGGAACAGGTAGTGAGAAGCTTGGCCAGGGTAATCCCAGTAGCAGACCCGAGCTTGTAGAGCTGGAGAAAGGGGGAGGAGAGGGCTTCTACCTGAAGTCCACAACGTCTCCTCATCCCTTTCCCCAAGAGGACGGGGGGCAGGATTAAGAGAGGAGGAAATGTGTAGATGCAAAGGAGAGAGAAAGGGAAGCCCAGCCGAGTGAACAATGGATGGAAGACATTTATCAAGAGACATTCTCGTGCGTTCCTAAATAAATGTTTCATATTAGCTGAGTTGTGCCCATGTTCTGTGGCCTAGAAGGGGTTCCTCAGGGATAACAACGCGTGCATAGAGTAGGACTCCAGTTTGCATCCAGATTGGGAGCTAAATCTGATAATTGCTCCTGCCCTTCTCTTCTACTCGTGCAACTCCATCTGGTCCGTGGCATCTGGAAGGCATCAAATGAGCAGTCCTTACCGGCATTATCGGCACTGTGCTCTTAGCCTAACAAGGGATTCACCCTTCTCTCTCCTGACTTTTTCAGGTGATTCAGTCGAGCTGTTCATGGTGAGAAGCCTTCCTCTTGCCAGCTATGCAGTGCCTTTCTCTGTTTGGGACAAGCAGGGGGCTTTCATCAGGCAGACCCTGCGCCTCACACTGTGTGACTGCCTGAGGGAAACGACATGTGAACAAAAGCCTACAATGACAAAAAGAGTCGGTCTTGCAGGAGGAGGAATTGTGGCAATCGTGGCTGCGTTCCTGTTATTGACACGTGCGTATTATCAGAAAGATGGATTTTTGCTTACTGCCCAGAAGGATACACTTGTGTCTTGTATGCCTGGCGTATTAATGGGTGATCTGCGTTTCACGGCATCAAATTTTTATTGGGCTTGCTTTTTCCTGTGCTCCCATTCTAATAGGTCTTTCAGCCAGGATATGGGACTGATGGATGACCTTTGGGGGAGGGCAGCCCTACTGGTTCCTCAGGACCCCTCAGTGGCTGTTGAAGCCATTGTCCATGGTATCTTTCTGGATTGCCTTGCAGGGTGGCAGGGGGGCGGAGGCGGTCTGGTCCTTGGGCAAATTACATTGCTGTGGTCCTGGGCCATGGCTGGGAGACGGTGTTGAGGGACCGCTGCTTGGTCCTTCCACACCATGGCTGGGAGACGGTGTTGAGGGACCGCTGCTTGGTTCCAGGGCCATTTGTCTAGGGATGGGGCGCACACCTTTTTGACCCTGGGGCCAGATATCTGAGAGACTGGAGATCGATAAGTGAGCGATCAGAAGCACCACTGCAGCGATACGTGTGGGGCAGGAACAGGTGCGAAAAAAAAGCCTCTGCACATTTTTGCACCCTGCTCTATGGTGTCCCGCAGGGCTTGGTGCTGCCCTCTGTGTTATCAGCATCTGCTTGATTCAACAGAGAGATCAGAAGCATGTTGGAGTGAGACGGCATCCTTAGCCTGACATGGCGCCACTCTTGCTTTTTGTTACATCTCCCCTGGAAAGCAAGCAGCCCCTCTGCATATTGCCTACATCTGATAATGGGCTGGATGAGGATGAACAAGCTGAGGTTAAATCCAGAAAAGACAAAGCTGTTGATCCGTGGTACTCCAGGCCTGGAGACGGGGATTCAGCCTGTTCTGGATGGGGCAGGCTTCCCCTGAAATGGCAGGTTGTGGCTTGGAGCGCTCCTGGATCGTATGGTTTCCTTGCATTTTCAGGTGGCAGCAGCCTGTTTGCACAGCTGCAGCTGGTACTTGCAACCATTGCTACTCAGTCTGATCTGGCAATGGTTATCTGTGCTTCAGGAGTAGATTATTGCAGTGCATTGTCTACAGGGCTGGCCTTGAAGGGCATCCAGAAACTTCAAACATCCAGAAGCCTGCCAGTTGCTAGCATGATGACATCAGCCCAGAGACGGCTCTACTCTGAATTGTTACTTGGATTCAACTTAGGGCCTGTCCATGCCAGGGGCTGCCTATTTCAGTACGAACCTTTTCAGTTATGGAGATCAGTAGGAGACCTAGTTCTGAAGACACCATCTTTTCAGAGGCCCTCTTGCTAGGCATTTGGAAAGGCTTCCTCACAGGTTGCTTCTGGAGTATGGAATGCACTCCCTTTAGAATTGCAACTCTTGTCTTTCTATGTCCAGAAAGACCTGGCTTTTAAAATCAATGTCGTTCTTAAGGTTTTAATATTTGCTATGGTTTGGACATTACACATTCTGATTCATCAGGATGAAGCAAGAACACAGTGAGTACTAAGCCGCTCCTGTTGGCCCCCTTCTGTTAGGAAACACTCCTACAGTCTGTGCCAGTCCTGTGCATTCACACAGTGCAGATGAGAAGGTTTTCTCATGGAAGAATTTGCTCCCTTGCAGAAGGGTTCACAAGACACAAAGATTCTTCAACCCACTCCTTTGTTGGAGATTTCATTTGGAAGCTACCTTGCAATAAGCTAAACATCAGCCTAAGGCTTCAGAAAAAAGATGTCCTACCTGATTTTTTAAAAAACTGTATGTGGCTGGGTATTAAATTTGGGATTGTATGCAAACCAAAGCATGTGCATCACCACTGAGCTGAAGGTGGCGGTCAATGACAGGTCACTGTACTGAACGTGCTGCTCCTAGTGGTTTTGACAGTGGATTTGTTAACCCTTCTTCTGGGATGCTTCCAGAAAGACAGGCTCTTGGAACTACCAATCCGAAGGCCCTATGCAGCTCTCCTGTCTGTCTGTCTGTCTGTCTGTCTTTTATATATATATATATATATATATATATATATATATATATATATATATATAAAATTAACATTTTAAACTAACACTAGAAAACATCAAACATGACAAACATTGGATTTACTGGGTCAACCTCCTACTACATATTTTTAACATTCCAAAGTCAAATTTCAAATCAATTTATAATGGTTTAAAAAACATCTCTAAGTTTACGCCAGGTCCCGTTTCTCCAGCCAATTATAGAAAGAGTCCCAAGTTCGATAGAAATCAGTATTCTCTTTCTCCTTCAACGATAAAGTCAATCTATCCATTTCTGCGCAATCCAAGATCTTTCTTACAATCAGTCCATTGGTGGGTATCGCCTCACTTTTCCAATATCGAGCAAATGCAATCCTCCCGCTGTGATTAGATGCAGATACATTTCCTGTCTGTTAATGTCTTCCGGTATGATACCTAACAAGAAAACTTTGGGTTTAAAAGCAAAGGGTTTTTGTAATATTTCCTCCATCCATCTATGTATTTTAATCCAGTACTTTTTTGCATTATCACAAGTCCACCACATATGATAAAAAGTACCCACTTTATGTTTACATTTCCAACATCTGTTTGACATATTTGGAAACATCTTAACTAATCGACTTGGTGACAAATACCATCTATAGAACATTTGATATAAATTTTCTTTATATGAAGTTGCTAATGTTACTTTAATGTTTCTTTCCCATAGTTTTTGCCACTTTTCTAGTTCAACATTAAATCCAAAGTTTTGTGCCCATGTTATCATAGTTTCCTTAACCTGTTCCCATTTTCCTGTCAAGTAAAAAATCATATAGTCTTTTAATAATTTTCTCATCTGTTTTAAGCATCACTTGATCAAACTCTGTTAGGTCTTTGTAGAACCCCCATGCTTTACAGTCTTTAGCATATCTCGATTGCATCTGCACCTTACACCACCAGGAAATATTAAGTCCCTGTTCTTGTATTTCTTGCTCCAGTTTCAGGCCACCATCCTTATCCAGGATATCACCATATCTTATTATCTTTTCAAAGTTCAATACATTTGGATATACAAAAGCTTTCATAGGTGAAAGCCATCTTGGTAATTTATTATACAGTTTTAGCTTTAGTTTTTCCCACACTGACATTAAAGATCTTCTAATAAAATGACTCAGAAACGACCCATGTGACTTAGCTTTTTCATACCACATATAAGCATGCCATCCCATCTGTAAGTCGTGACCTTCAAGATACAAAATTCTCTTACTTCGCCATGTTATCTATTCTTTTAGCCAAGTTAGAACAGATGCTTGATAATACAACATCCAATCAGGAAGACCAAAACTTCCATTCCTTTTAGCTTCCTGAAGCATTTTTAATTTAATCCTTGGTTTCTTTTTTCTCCAGATAAATCTCGAGATATGAAAATTTAAGTCATCAAAGAATTTTTTATCAATTTTTACAGGAATCATTTGCAACAAAAACAGAAGTTTAGGTAATATATTCATTTTAACAAGTGCTATTCTTCCCATCAAAGATAATTGTAAATTGGCCCATTTTTCCAAAACACCTTTAATGTCCTTCAATAATTTATCATAATTATCTTCTTTCAAAGTGGTTCATTTAGCTGTAAGATAGATTCCCAAGTATTTAACCTTTTTAACAATCTGCAAATCTACTTATTCCTGGAGTCTTTCTTTTTGTTCTCGCATAAGGTTTTTAACTAACAATTTCATTTTTTCTCTATTTATTTTCATTCCCATAACTTCACCATATTCCTCAATCCGTTGTAGAAGTTTAGGCATTGTTACAAAAGGTTCCTCTGTTATAAAAACCAAATCATCCGCAAAGGCTTGCAATTTATAACTTTCGTCCCTAATTCTAGTTCCTTTGATGTCCTTGTCATCCCTAACACATCTATTCAGTACCTCTAAAATCAAAATGAACAAGAGGGGTGACAGCGGACATCCTTGTCTTGTGCCCTTTTGGATCTCTATAGGGTTTGAAAGTTCTCCATTAGTTAAGATCCTGGCCGACTGTTTTTGATAAATGATACCGCATTCATAAATTTTTCACCAAACTCCATTTGAATCATCTGTTGCTTCATAAATTGCCACTTAACATTATCAAAGGCTTTTTGGGCATCCATGAACAATAACCATTGGTTTTTTGGTATGTATCTCATCATATTCTAAAATATCCAAGATAGTTCTCAAGTTATTCATTTGTCTTTTTGGCAAAAAGCCATTCTGGTCTGGATGGATAAAGTCTATTAATAACTTCTTTAGTCTTTCTGCGAGTATAGAAGCAAACATTTTGTACTCCACATTTAATAGTGATATAGGTCGGTAATTTTGAATCTGTGCTACATCCGTATCTTCTTTCGGTATTAATGTGATATTTGCCTCAGTCCAAGTAGTCGGTATTTTAGCATTTAACAATGCTTCATTGTTATGTCTTTTAAGAGTGTAGCAAAAATTGCTTCAAAAGATTTGTAAAACTCAGCTGGTAGTCCATCTGGGCCAGGGGTTTTGTCATTCTTTTGTCGCTTAATTGCTTCTATTACATCCGTAATTGTGACTTCTTGATTTAATAATTTTTGGTATTTTTCTGGTAGTTTTGGTAATTCTTCCATTCAAATATATTCTTTAACTTTCTCAATTGGAATCTCCTCCTTCTGATACAGCTTTGTAAAAAAGTCTTCCACTATTTTCTTGATTCGTGCACTCTGTGAATGTAATTGTCCTTTCAATTTCACAATCAATCTCTTCTCTTTTTCTTTCTTAACTTTATGTGCTAACCATCTCCCTGGTTTATTAGCATTTTCAAAGAAGTTCTGTTTGATCAACTTCATTTGTTTAGGAAGCTCATTTGTATCCAAAAGGTTTAACTTATGCCTTAAAATATCCAGCTGAGACCTAAGACTTTGTTTTGATGGGTCTGTCTGTCTTTTTTAATCGAACTCTTCTGCGAAGAAAAAATATGGGGAAAGTGGTGGGAAAAGCTGAGGGTGCTGCAAGCGGGAGCGGACCATCTCTGGGCTCCCACAAAAACTATGTGAACAAGGCAAGAAATTGCAAATCTGTACCCTTTCCTGAGCTGCCAGCAAGACGAAGAGGCTGGTATGGGGTGTAGGGAGCCAGTGGCAAAGGTCATTTCTTTTCTTTTTGTGCAGTGACCACTGGTCTCCTCCTGTGGTATTCCTGTAGATCAAAAGCAATGGAACGTTCTACCATGATCCTTGAAGACTCTCAGTCTCTGATTCCCTACAATCTTGAGGGCCCAGCTAAGGTGAGACATTTCCCACTCCCTGGGATGATCCAATGTAATTGGGTTTATAGCACAACCTTTGCAGGCACACTGAGACCCAAGTCTCATTGACTTAAAGGGACTTACTCCTGGGTACGTATGTATAAGATTGCAACCTTCACTTTCTTTGGAATATCTTTCTGGTATCTGCTTCACCTGCAAATATACCAGAGGCCATGTAGAAAGGAAACACGGACTCCTTGAACAGAGAGCAGATTTCCAGGGAACACATGCAGCTCTTTGCTAGAGGGAAGGCACCCCCAGTTTTAGTAACTTCAACTGTCCTGCCAAACTTGCAGCCTAACCCTAACCTCTATAAGTACTTCAAAAGCTGCCACAAAGAGGAAGGTCAGGATCTCTTCTTACTGATACCAGAGTGTAGGACACGGAATAATCAATTCAAGTTGTGGCAACCCAGATTCAGGCTGGACACCAGGAAAAGCTTCCTTACTGTCAGAGCAATACAACAGTGGAACCAGCTGCCTGGAGAGGTGGTGGCTCTCCCACATTAGAGACATTAAAAAAAGAAACTGGACAGCCATCTGAGTGGGATCGTGTAACTTGGTGTCCTGCAACAGCAGGGGGTTGGCCCCTTCCAACTCTATGTTATAATAATAATAATGATGATGATGATGATGATGATGATGATTCAATACCCACAGGCTCCTAGGAGAAGCCCTTGCTCTGATATCTGTGCCTAAAATTTGGGTGTTCAGATGTGACAGTTTGAAGCCTGCCAGTGGCATAATAGTTCCTAGATCATTAGTTTGCCTGAACAATCAGTTCCCCCTTGTTAAAAACCACACCACCACCAGTAAGCATTTCTGTATATATAGTGTGGACACCAGAACTGCACACGTGCCTCTCATGGGATATAAATGGCAACTCATCCCCCGGAGGGTGCACGGGTATGACCTGAGCGACTGCTGCCTTCACAGTCAGCCCGCGTGCCCTCCTGTTGTCTCACCACAGGGCATGATTTCTGGACCACTAGGCTGCATGAACCCTCCTGTTCTCCATGTGTTCTAACTGTGCAAAGGGGATTTTGCTCCTTTGATTAAAACCTTCCTGTCCCATATAGGACAAGCCTGATGCTCAGAATCATGCAACACCATTTGCAGTGTACGCAGTGCCTGTGAAGAAAAACCAAAATGACCCAAGGTAACTGCAGAATGCTTTCCCTCTTCACAGACACCACATGGGCCCAGGGGAGCATTTGTGAACAAGCCCAGCAGGCTGGAGTGGAGTTGGGGCAAATGGTCTTGCATGGTTCCCGCCCCTTGTGGTGAGGCCTGTTCTGACTGAAGCATGGCTGAAATGCAGCGCACCGTGCCTGGGAGGTGTCATGGCTTAAGCACTCTGCAAATGAGGCAGCCACTCACTGCCGCACTGTCCATTGGTTAGAAGCACCTGGCCCACCCATCGCACATTCATGGCCATCCAGTCAGCCTATTTGTATGTAAATCAAATGAATCACAGCTGAGGTGGACACATGACCAGGGTGCATTTGGGACAGTAAATGGATCGGATGCATTGGCATGCTCAGATGCGTGCATGTGAGGAACCAACGAGGCCTCTTGAAGATGAAAGGGTTACCTGTGCTGCTGTCAGGTCTGCTGCCGCTTCTGCAGCCAGATGAGTCCTGAGTTGCCATCTTGCCATTGCAAGGTCTCCTTGTATGAGGAAAATAATGCCCTCCTGAATCGGTCCAAAGATCCATGTGGGCTGGTGTTCTGTCTCCATGCAGGGGACACTTGGGTGACTCCAACAGGACTATGGGAAGGTAGCCTTCCCTGTTTCTTGTGCCTCTATTTTATTGTTTTGTTTTTGTTTTCATTTTATAAACCACCCTTGAACAGATTCCTAGATTGACTAGGAAGACATCAAGATTCCAGTTAAACAAATTAGAGTCGAAATGCAACCATATGAAGAGTGATATGGAAGCATAAGTTGAATTAAAAGCAAAATTGCTTAAAAGCAGGGCTCAGGCTGTATAATCCAGAGCAACATTGCCTCCAGAAACAGAGGCACATTTGTATCTCATGGCTTATCACTCCTGTACAGCTAGACTTCGTTCCAATGATTTCATTGGATGGCTCTCAGGTTCCAGAATTTTGAAAGAGAAGCAGTGCTTTATTTGTCGTGTCACCATTGGCACACCTGTCGTCCTCCTCTTCAGGGGCAGTCTTCATTATATGGACCAGTACGGCAAGTCTTCTGACATACGGCTATTGGTGGGAAGGCTTGTGTTGGTCCTTCCATTAGAAAGAATAAGGCGACCACTCCTGAAAGATGATTCTGGGTGTCATAAAAGAGCAGCAAAATGCTTGCTTGCTTTATGTATTTCCTAACAGAGAGGAAAGGAAATAACATTCTTGGACTTGGATCCAACATCCATGGATGTGTTGAGGGTGGGGGGAGAGAGCAAAATGACTGAGGAACTTCAGGTACAGTTTACTGCAAGCTCTTTGTAGGTTAAGTCTGATGTCTAATGTATTTCGAACAATCTATAATTTTAAGAAGAGTGGTTTTAGATGGAAAGGGGGGAAAACATGGACTCCAACTGGGTTCTTTAAGTTTCTTTAATAACTTCTTTTCCTTCCAAAGGGAAGGAGCACGTAGAAAGGACAGCAACTCAAGTGATCCGAGAAAGCCACCTAGTCTGATCTTCCCACCTGTCCTCCCACCTTCCCGCAAGGTAAATGATTTTTTTCTTGTTTATCTCAGACAAATATGCCTCTTTCCATTCTAAAGCAATCTAAAGACTTGGTTTCTGCAGTTTTCATCTGTTTGATGTTGGAATGGCAAGAGATACTAGATGAATTTTAAAGTTTGGTGGCTCTGATGCTTCTTTTTCCTCCTTCACCAGACAGGCGCTCAAATCAGGATGGATTTTGATACCTGGACTTTCCAAAGAATGGTCGAAATTGTGAAGCAAGTAAGAAATGGATTAAGGAAGTATCCTGATATCTCTGTTTTTCAAATACTGCCAGTTGCCTCCAGCAAGATGGGCTTTGAACAGCTCAAGTGTACCCTTGCTAATACAGAATCCCATATTGATTAGAACGGCACCATATATTTTCTGGCTGTTTTAACTTCCTTTTCACTCACATGCTGCCTAGTATTACATGGGCTTCACTGAGGTGGTTATTCACAGCTGCTTGATAAGGATTGTGATCCATGTTCCTAAGTTGCCATGTTACCTATTGCTGCTGATTAGCTGACACTTTTGTAATTAATTTTTTTTTAGGCTGTGGTATTTGACTGTTAACCTGTTTTATGGTTAATGCCTTGACAAACCTGGTTTAGCTCTGAGAGGTGATAGAAAAGTTAGCTGTGACGTTCTGTCAATTTATCTTCCGCTTATGGGGACTGTAGGAATGAGTGCCCTCCAAAGAGTTTTGTGCTTAACAGCCTGCTCACCTCTTGTAAATGATGGAAAAGTAGCCAAATACCTATAAATAAAGACAAGAAGCTCATTCTGTTTAGCTGCCTGAATGTTCTCCTCTCTTTACAGAGATGTGATCATTTGAACAACCTCGAAGACAAGGTGTCCTACTTGCCTCATGTTTATGCAGAGGAAGGAAGCATGGGGGGAAGTGATTCCACTTGGTCCCTACCTGACCCATATGACAGCGACAACCGGCTGCCTCCTGATTTCGTTGATACGTTGGGGCCCAGACTTAACCCTCTGGGCAGAATCTGTCGCATGGAACGTGATAGGATTCACTTCTAAATGAAAATGCATCGATCCATACAATTAGATCATCGTCTTGTATATCAGCAGCTGGCACCTCCAGGGTCAAAGGTTTCTGTTTGTCCCATGGCAGACCCACTAACCCCCGATAGAGCAATGAGGCGCTTCTTCAGTGCAATTATATTCAGAATGAGAACCGTGGGGTTCAGAGGTATTACTCTCCAATCCACTTGTATAGAATTTCAGCTTAGATACTCTCTCCTCTAAGAGTATAAGAAGAGCCGGGCTGGATCGGAGCAAGAGTCTATCCAGTCTAGTAGGCATGGATAATCTTCTCCCTGTTCAAAGCCATCCAAATAGGTGGCCATCACTACTTCCCATGGCAGTGCATTCCATATTTCAGCTATGCACTATGTGTAGAAATACTTTCTTTCATCTGTCCTGAATTTCCCAGCGATCAGCTGTGTGGAATGACCTTACAGGAGAAAAAGAATAATTCCATCCCTCTGCAGTTTCTGCACACCATTCATACTTTTAAACACCTCTGTCATGTCTTCCCTTACTTACCTGTTTTCTAAGTGACACAATCCCAGCTGTTGTAGCTGCTCCTCACAAGAAGTTGCTCCAGCCCCCTCTTCATTTTATTTGTCCTCTGTATTTTTTCCAGCTCAGTAAAGTCATTTTTCAGGTAAGGTGACCACAGCTGTAAGCAATATTCTAAGTGAAGCCACACCAAAAATTTGTATTAAGGGTAGTCTGATCTTGGCAGTTTTATTTAAATTTAAATTCCTGTCCTAATGTTGCCTAACTTGGAGTTAGTCTTTGTTTCGCAGCAGCTGTGCCTTGGGTCAACATTTTCGTCAAGCTGCCCATCGCAGCCCCATTTCCTTTCTTCAGCCGCCACTGCTAATTCAGATTCCATCAACCTGTTCCTGAAGTTAGACTTTTTGCCCCAATATGCATTACTTGCTTATATTGCACTGCCCATTCTCCTAGCTGGGAGATCCCGTTGGGGCACCTCCCAATCCCCTTTGGTTTTTCCCACCCTAAATAGTTCGGTGTCATCCGCAGGCTTGGCCGCTTCACCGCTCACTCCTAGTTTCAGGTCATTTATGAATAGGCTGAGAAGCGTCCTTCCTAAGACAAACCTCATGGGACTCCACAATCCCTCCATTGGGAGAAATTCCCATTTCCCCCACTCTTTCTTTGGGTTCTTTAACCAGTTTCTGATCCATAAAAGGTCTCCCCTTCCTTGCGTTTATTCCATGACCACTAAGTTTGCCATGTAATTGGAAATCTAAGGGCTCTTTAGTATCCCTAATAGAAATTGCAAAAGGGCTCATTGTCTCTTTCTGTACATTAATGTGCACGCTCATTGCCCATTGTCTTAGAATGAATGGCTTATTTGTGCTAGAACCAGAATAATGTTCTTCCAAGGTTGCGTTGATATTTCCAATGAGGAGGAGGACCTGAAGATTGCTTGGCCTGCATCTTCATTTAGACAGAAGTGGATAACAATGGGCTGAGATGATGCATGGGCATCCTGACGCTTTTTTATATATGGAGGCATAGGAGATCCTCCTTAGGAGCAAAGCTGAAAGATGAATTAAAGATGGTTTTGTGACCTGTGCTATGCCACTAATTAATTAACCCATTTGGTTTTCTTTTTTGGTTGTCTGATCTCATTGCTTATCAAGATGGACCTGTGCTGATTCAAACATATATTTGGATATATGCAACCAAATTTCAATGGAACATATCCCGCACTGTGTTTTATACTGCCCACTGTATAAATTATATCCCAGATATAATTTCCTGCCAGGTGTTCATATTATTCTAACTAGGGCTTATTGAAATATGGAATTTTCTACTTCCTAGCTGATGTGACCAAATTTGTTACCTCTAGGGTAGCATTGTATGCAGTGGGAGTTTAAAAAGTAAGAATAATTTTGTGCAAGCCATTGCAATATCCAGTAATGAAAACTCTCCCCATTTTCATGAAGGTATTTTATATAAAAATCTAAAAAATCAATACTTTGTCTTTATCATTGTTAGATTTATGTATTTTGACATTCTTCACTTTGCACTTGGTTGTAATCATTTGTTTATGCTGTTTGGCTGAAGCAAATAAATTGTCTTTTTTCAAAAAAGCTGTCTTACTTTTTCAGAAAAGTCTGATTATAAATATTTCTTTTTCAGTCTAGAACAGCAGATGTTTGAGTTTTGTCCCAGAAAGGAACATGGTTAAAAAAAGAGTCCCTGGTTAGAAAGCAGTGTGGAGTTGGACAGAGAAAAATCCCTTCTGCATTTAAGACAATTTGATGGCGTGACTTCCACACTAGAGAAGATGGGCTGATTCAGTATTTTCATTGCAATCAAAAGGCAGTTTAGATGCAAAGATCCACTTTGCACCCTAGAAGGCATCCTGATGAAGCGGATTCCTTCAGCCCTGCACATCAGTGTGTGCTCCACATTTCTTGGCTTTAAATCCATGCAAACTGGAAGAGATGCTGTGAGAGACAGCACCTGTGATCTCGCTGCCTCAGAGAAGATCCTCATTCCCTATTTTCTTAAAACATCTTTGGTATAACATGTGAGTAACCCAGTTACCTGTACCCTGCCCTTCCCCACCACTTGTCACATCAGAGCCTTGAAAGGGTCTCTGGTGTTCACTAATATAGAAGGCATATCAGCAGCGCAAGCAGAGCAGGTGGTAGTTTTTGAGAAGTGGCTCCAAGCAGAATATGCCCATGTTTCTACAGAGGAGGGAAGACCGGAGGAAAGTGCATCTGTTTGGTCCCTTCGGGCTGCAGAGGACGACAGTCTTTCTCCTGATTTAGATAGGTTGGACCTGGTGTTTACTACTTGTGGCAATATTTGGAGGTCACCTGTGGACAGCACAAGAAGTAGCTTCAACCTTCCAACTCCTCACCTGGTTCCCATTTGAGCTGCCCAAGTGCTGTGGCCTCGAGATAAGCATCTCCATTGCAGCTTCTCTCATCTCAGCGTGTTGGGACGGCCCATATTGGCCCCCTCCCCTTCTCCCTCTGACTTTTTTCTGGATATCAGCCTGCAGCCCTTGAGAAAGTGCTCCCAAACCAGCTATCTTTCTCACTCCCAGTATTAGCACTTTTGAGAACATGTCCTGTTTCACATCCCGAGCATGGAGCCTTGTCCATTCCGTGTTCCTTTCCTCATGAATTCATCAGTTAATTCCAAGCATAACTAAGCTATTAGCCACTGCAGAACTCTAGATCCACAAGAGAGAGTTTGAGAAGAAAATGCACATGGTTTTCATGTGCTTTTTGCTAGTAGTGTCTAATGAATGCAAAACATTACAAGGCTGTAGAATATTTCAGTTGTACCTGGGAATACCCATCAAAAATTCCCATGACTATCTCTTTTCTGAGCTGAAATTGTCCTGTGTTTTACTTACCTAGACAACTTGTGTGAGAAACCATCCCAGTCCTTCAAACACAGTTGCACTGCACAAAGGGATATGTGCTGCTCATGTACTGTGCAGCCTTATGCACCTTCTGTTAGAGCATCACCTGAGTATTCTGTGCATGCAAGAGAAACCTAAATTAACTAGCCAGTGTTGTGAGCTAGGTTTTCCTCCCTTTGCACATTCAAGGCAACAGAACTTTCTTTTGCAAGGGAATCTTTATTCCCCCAGTAAGCTCAATCAGCACAGAATGTATCTCTGAGCACGCACAGAGTGGTTTGTTGAGCCCCTTGCAACTACTTCCAGAAACCCTCCTTTTGAGGATGCCTGGGCCTGATCCCTTCAAGAGGGCCCACCTGGAAGTGAACCTGCCTTTTCTCTGCAGGCCAAACAGCTTTGCCCATCTCTGGGAGCTCCTCTCCTGTCCCCTCATCCGACAGCTGCACGTTCTGTTATTCTCAGAGCCTGTGCATGCACCTGGGAAGAGTGACCTTGAGATAGGCCCCTCTGCTTCACACAGCTCAAGGGGTGGAGGGCCACTATCCCAGGCCTCCTGCCACACCTCTGCTTCGTTCTCAGTGCAGATCGGTGTGACCTGAGCGTGTGCACTAACCATGACCGTGGGCAGCTGGTTTGCCGTCCCGTGAATGAGTCCCGGGGTGCATGGGCCATTGGTTGGCTCCAGCGTGGCTTTTCTTATGTTCTAACCGTCAGCTCCTGCTTAAAAATTCAGACCTATGTTTTCCCCAGTATCTGAAAAAGGATAATTATAATAATGGTATACTTCTGGAGTTTTCATGAGAAAGCATGGCATTGTTTAATTTAACAATTTAATTTTATTTAAATGTCATTTTAATTGTTAACAATATTTACTTATATATCTGGCCAGGGCGACTTCTTTTCTTTTCTTTTCTTTTCTTTTCTTTTCTTTTCTTTTCTTTTCTTTTAAACTTCTTTTATATCGTGTTTATATATATATATATATATATATATATATATATATATATATATATATATATATAATTTATTTTATATTATTAATTTTAATTTTAAATTGTTATTTTTGTATTGTATTGAATTTTATTGTGTTGTAAGCCGCCCCGAGGCTTCGGCAAGGGGCGGCATAGAAATGTTCTAATAATAATAATAATAATAATAATAATTGTTACAAGTGATGCTGCCACTATGCTCACATAAGATGTGAACAATGTGATGTGGCTGCAAGAAAAGCAAATGCTAGTTTGGGCTGCATTTATAGAAGAATCACTTCCACATAACACAAAGTACTAGTTCCCTTTTACTCAGCACTGGTTAGGCCTCATCTGGAGTTCTGCATTCAGTTTTGGGTACCACAGTTTAAGAAAGATGCAGGCAGGCTGGAAAGGGTTCCAAGAAGGGCAACAACAATGATCCAGGGGCTGGAAACCATGCTCTCTGCGGAGAGATTGAAAAAATTAGGCAGGCTTAGTCCTGAGCTGCGAAAACTGAGGGAGATATGATTGGATTCTTCAAGTATTTGAAAGGTTGTCACAAAGAAGAAGCCAGGATCTCTTCTCAGTCATCCTAGGCTGCAGGGCATGGAATAACAGGCTCAAG